CAGAGAACGGAAACATCGCAATGTTTCATAAAAACGCATTATAAGGCTGATTGCAACTGTTAACTGTGTATATATGGAGTACCCACCAAGTGAGTAGCTAAATGAAAATGTTAATATCAGTTGGTCCTTCACGGATTTCATCACCATCAAAGTAGACCTCCTGACACGGTGAGAAGGAGACAGGTTGAACTGAATAGGTACTCACCCAGTATCCAAGCATAGAGACTTGGGCATGGGTAGTGTTCGCGTTGGAAAATAGAGAGGATGAATGCAATGGTATATTTTAACCCATAGGCCTATTGGCGTGTCATGGGGAAGACAAGATGGCTAGGAGACATCGAATGATAATTGACAGACCAGGCGGGTGCACGTCAGATATAAACGATCTTTACACTAATCTACGTGTGTTGTAACGCTTTTCACTTCAAAAATCGCTTTAAACAAAATGATTCAATGAAATGTAAAAGCCTATCAAGGAGAATTTGAAGGATGGGAATGAAAAACATTTGGGGTGAAAAATTAAAACCAGAACCTCGCCCCGTAGTCAAAAGTGTCCTAAATAGGCAATTTTCTAGGATCAATTTTTGGACATTATATATTTAATAAGGTACCTTTGGTCAGGGTCGTCGTTCAAAGAGGCAATTCGTTACGATGTTTTTATAATTAATAAGGCAATTTTAATCAGGGGCATTTTTCAAAGTGGGAAAGCGAACTTATTTTTAAGTTTAAACTCGTTGTTAATTTTTTTTAAGGTTATACACGGACTTTAGTTGTCCCGGCCGTGTCGATTCATGTTGCTTTGAGGTAGTTCACAATTTTTGTTGGGGACCCAGGATTCCCCACGATGGCTCATCGCCGTTTTTGTCATTGTTTACACTAATCCCTTGACCACACCACGTCAGCGGGCGCGTCACCCACGGGGCGCTTTTGACAGCCCCATCTGTTACACCGCTTTCATCAACCGGGTCAGTGTCACCCTTGACTTATATAACTGTTTACATTCTGACAGATTAGTCGGCCTTTGGCTGAGGTATTAAAAGCTCTGTGCACGAGGCCCTGCCTTGTCCTGCATTGGCGTGGGAAGGTGGGAGCGGCTCGCGTCGGATATGGGATCTGGAGCACCGGCTGCCTGAGTGTGTGGTCATGGTTTCGGGCAATTTTTCAAAATCAAGTAATCAAACCATTATCAAATGCCGCTAAACATTTTTAAAATTTTGGAGTTGTGTCCACTAAAACAAACGAATGAGCTTGACTATTGGTTAGAACTGTGAGTCCAAGTAATCAAGGATAATCGAACAGGCAATTTTGTTGTGAAGCCAGTGTGACCCCTCCGTAATGTGTCATATGTATTTGTACACCGATTCTCACTGTCATGATCCCCCGTATCTCTGTCACACTCACCGCGCACCTTTGTGTTTTTACATTCAAGAACGAAGCTAATCTAGAAGCCAAATAAACGGCCAGATTGCAGTCTCCTCTTGCCTCATCGCTCTCCTCTAGTGTATCATGGTTGCATCGAAGTCTAAATTCGAAATAAAACGGGAGCAAGACATGGTTTCTCGGGTATACGGCTTTAACGTAGGAACCACCACAGTACAGACTAAAAGGCGATAAGGGTAGTCTCAAAACTTAGATATATTGTGACACAGTAACGTCAGTTATAATGTGATCAGAAGGTAAATGGTCCAGGAAAATTTTAGGGTAAAGCGCATACTGACAATGCGGTAGGTTCTCAAAACGCATATAAATAGGAGACGGACCGAATAATTGTGGATGGGGAAGCGACAACAATGGTAGCGATGACGTTGTTATGTACACCAACAGATAATCAAGAGGTCGAAGTGGACAAAAACACATGAGGTGTTTGGGTGGTACTTGTGTTCGTATTGATAGGCGACTGTGGCCCTCCTAAGGCTAGTGCGATTTGCTCTCCATGATCGCCCCAATTGACAGAGAGATCAGCAGTTGTATCGAGAACAGGTCTGCCGTTGGATATCGGAGAAGTTAGAACGCTGCTGTCACAATCCTCCCCCTCTAAAGGGATCTCTTGGGTGGGAGGAGGGGGCATGATGGGGGAAGGAGATCGGCAGCGAGAGGCGGCAGTGTGGACTGTTGAAGAGGCGGTGCCAGCGAAAACAGCATTATTCGCTGGCTGGAGTTGCTTACTGGCGGAAGAATTTAAATGTCTCACTACTCGACGAGAACGAAAGTCATACCAAGCACGACAGAGAAATACGTTAGACGAGCTCGCGTCTTCAGGAAACTCGGAATAATCACAGTTGGTGTTCTAAAACACAAAAACGAACATAATGCTCACAATGGAATCTACCAAACAGCGGCGGTTGCTTCGCCCACAAAACCTTCAACAAAATTTGCTTGAAAATTTTGATGACAAGAAAATTTTCAATTATTAAATACTAAATCGGATTGGTTATGAGAAATACACTCATCACCATATTTATTCCTTAGTTCTTGTCATCACAGAGCACTTTACCTACACACGACGTCGAATAAAGTAACAATTTCACAACGCGAAGCCACTTATGGCTATTTCAATCATAACTAGTCAAGGACGTGTTCGTGCATAAATGCTAAATTATCTCAAATATTACAGGTCACCCATGAAATAGCAGTTTATAAATAATAAAAAGGCGGCCACGGCAATAGATAGTGAAAAAAGAGGTCCGCATGACTGTAAATTTATGTGGGGGAGACTTATTGGAAAAAATCGGCCTATTAATAAAATCTGGAAACGAACAAAATTTGGCACGCAATACGAAAAATTTTTACATGTGAGTGCATCGTATACGACAACTTGGCAACTGCTTGACGTTGTAATTTATCCAGGTAGAGGCCCACCATTAAAAAACAATTGAACACAAGTTCGCGTGCAAAAAGATTTAATAACATCTTTATGGTGTAATTTGTACCACGTGATACACGGACTGCGTTTGCCTGATCAAGTAGAGTGATGCAAGCGGTTTAGCAACCACCTGAACCCAAGAGAATTGATTCGCTGTAAGAGTGTGCTATCGCAACCCTCACAGAAAGATAAGTGGCTCCACTCACAGACTCAACTGTGCGGATATTTCAAGCAGGAAAGTAAGCCTCAAAAATGAAGGCCTAGGTTATCGATTAAAATTGCAGTTCTGCTGAAGTTAACAACTAGATTACGCATTGAAAGTTGACAAGAAACCAACAATCGAGGTTAAGATTTTACTACCACGCAAATAAGCATTTGTAGTAAATAAAAAAACTTTAATCAATATACTAATAACGAGCATTTCGGCATGCTCGGGTTTGGACTATTGTCGTCTTAAGAAGTTCTGTGAACAAAAAGCAGACAGAAATCGTTGAGAACTTGGTTGGGTATTAGTTGAGTGAGATTGCGACACATGAGGCAGAACAAAATCATACAAATATTTTTGATAGCCTTCTATGAACCTGCCGTTGATATAGGCAACGACTGGCTCGCTATTGTTAGTTATTCCTTATACGGATTAATCAGTTAGAACGAAGAAATCCTGGTAACGTCGATTAACGTATTCAGGTCTCAAAATAATCACCAAAGAAATCAGGACACTTGAGACGAGTCGAGAGGTGAACGCAAATTTTACCATTCTGCCAGGGTTTTGACAAAATTGACAAACAGAAAACACTATTGGGCTTGCCAACACGTCAAGGAATGTGTTTGGTGAAGCAATCCGTTGCCTTACAGACTTACCGAAAGGCTCGTAGAACCATGAGGCGACTTTGACGGACTCTGTGGAACTACAGCTGCCGGTCGACGATGAACGCGAGCCTCCTACGACAAGAGGGAATTCGCGTTTTAGTCGACAAATTAAAGGAGGCATAAATGAGAAAAGCTGAACATCGGCACCTAACCAGATCTAGCACTGTGAGGCCGACAACTTTCTCGACAAGACGGTTAAAGACATAGCTTTAATGCACTCAAACGTCACTAAGGAAATGTTTCAAAAGATTAATTTCGCCAAAAGTGGACGCCATGACGGCTACCCTACTTGAAAAAAGATAATGAAAACACACAGAGCAGAAACGTCCCGATATTGTTAAAATTAGTTAACAAGACAACTAGGTACATGAAAAACGAGTACGTTTACTTTGAAGTTACACCCGCTTTTAGATAATTCAAGGTAGTAAAAGAGATGCCAGGAATAATTACCTTGAGAAACAATTGACAATAATGCATACCGTTGGTTAAAATTTAATTATTGCTCCTTACATTTGGCAAATTATCTACGACTTTTAGTTACAGGTATTAAATACTTCTAGGACACTTTGATGTAAGTATCTTGTCAAACCTTTACAAATAAAAAGACCTGGCATGATTGAGACATGCCCTAGAGACTAACTGGGCCTCACACAATAATTCAAGGGCAATATGCAGACAGCGTTCGCAGGCGCTGTAAATGGTAGCGTCTTTACAAATTTCGTGAACAGCTCCACTGTTTGAGCGGGTTAAAACTCTAGGGCTACAGCAGAGAACAAATCAGGTTTGATGCGGTTTGTGAAATGTTTACACCAATTACGAGGCTGCGTGTGCCTGTCAGTTAACTAGCTCATGCAGAGCCCACCGTCTCATTCAAAACAATTGTGATGCCACCTATAAGCAACTAAGCAAAGCTGGCTGCAACCCATCAGAGGGGGGAAATCAGACTACGGGAAACGGTGGTTGCGACGATGCAGTTCGTGGGAGCAGCATGAGAGCAAATAGGCTCAAGTTTAAAATAAAAGCGACAAAACAAGATAACACGAATCTTAGATTTAGGTATCCGTAATAAGTTAATGTTTCATTGAAAATTTCTCCAGTTGACCGTTCTAAGATGATCTGCTAAATACTGTTATTTGGGCTCCAGCTTTCGATAATGAGATTGTAACTGGGCGCCCAACACAACAAAAAACCTACAGGTCCATAAACAAAAAACGGGATGAGAGACACGCTTCCATTGTCAAAATGAAAAAAAAAACATTTAAACAGGAATACAACAAATACTTAAATAGGCTTTTAAATCAACGTGCGACTCTAAGTTACAATAAAAACCAGACAGTTGGCCGAGGTTTACAGTGCCAATAAGAGGAACAGACGAGGAGCCTCATACGTGCAACGGCATTGTTCCCTGTCAAATGAGCTCACATTCGAACCTTTTAAAATGAATTAGCAGATGGAAGGCAAGCAAACGGTCAAGGATCAAACAGGAACCAAGACTACTGAATAACTTGTTTGACAATGCAACAGTACTTGGAGGCATGGAAGCTTAATTTCGAAAACATAAGAACCATCCAAACTTAAAACGAGAGCAAAGCAGGATGGCTTCACAGAAAGTAAAGGTTGCAAAATAACTGAGTTCCGCTCTAACGAGGACCAAAACACCTGAAGCATTGGTAAATACTTTTTCACGTGACAAAAAGGGGTAGGTTAAAAATACAGAAAAAAAACACAAATTAACGAAAGGATAATAGTCAGTAATTCATCGGCTATCAAATTTGGAGTAAACTGACTCAAAATACGCGATTCGTGTTGGCATTATCTCCACGCTAAGAAATGTACGGATTAGCTATTCCCGCTTACTTCCAGATTTTAAATTACGCTAAAATTGAAGCCGCAGCAGCAATGGTGGGAATAAAGACTGCCACCGCATCCACAAACAGGCATCACAAATCGTAAACGCTGCACACATTTGCACTTTGTACCGAATCAATTCCCACATGTACACCGGTTGCATTCGGAGGTCATGAATTTATTTGCACTGGCGTGAAAGAGAAACAGACCAAACCAACTACTTATGCGGGCGTTTTCCTTCAAAGTTACGATTGAAGTAAAACTAAATCGTAAGTACTACGCCATACATAAGAGTCTGAGCAGTGAACATTACCTGTTTATACTTGGCAAGTGCCATAAATCGTGCGTATGGAGACGAGGAAAGAACGTAGGCTCGATCGTCGATACAATCAACTGGATTCACGTCGCAATGACGACTGGCAAACAACTCGCACTCAATGACACCGTTTCTGCGAGGAGGAGTTAAGCTCTCGGGGCGGTAGTACCACAGCAAGGCCATCATCTTCGTTCCTACACGGCACATGCACCGGAATAAAAAAAAACCAAAAATATCAAAGATAGGTAGATCCACCGCACAAATTAGCACAAACATGCATAAGAATCTAACGCATTAAAAAACTTCACCCCAAGGTTCGGTTATGAAAAAAAGGTCAAATTTCAAACTTTCCACTATTTTTTTTTGAAAACAGCGTGCAGGTTGTCCATTAACTAAAGCGGGTTTACACATAGAGCATATGTGGTGATACAAGTCAGACATTAGCATTCAGATAGGAAATGGCAGAAACATTGTGTAAGGTTCGGTCACACCAGGAAATTGTGACGTAGCAATGTTTTTTTTTAACTGAGCAAATTGCTAATATTGCATTGAGTGCGGCCTAAAGACGGAGGATCATCTAGAAATGGGTTTGGTGGCGCCACACCTAGTCTGGTATCCGGTATTACGTGTGAGTAGAAGCTGCAAGTTTAATATTGGCTGATAGCACAGCAAATGTGGCTCAATACACAAGTTAATAAACGAGATGATGGGATTAGACGTGTCCGCAAAAAAAAACTCATTCTGACTAAGACCACTTTATTGACGTATGCTAACTGCCAAGTAGCCTGTGCATTTTTGGCCTAAATAGTATTCACATAGTAAGATATCAGTCGACTGAGGGAGGGCAACTACTTAGAATACTTCAGACAATGAGCACGACACAACAAAATTGGCTTGACCATTTCAAATGTATCGCGAAATTTAAGCCGTAGCAAGCAACAAGTATAAACCACCTTAATCAGGCAGTATAACTCAAACACTTCAACACTGATCCATAACCTCTTACAAACCAAACTGTGAAGAAGTGATTTAGATCAAAAGGCCAAGAGATCTCTAGGGATACAACAATCTGCCGAGAAGCGTGCACTTTTTATAAGATTGAGTGCAGAAAAGTAGCACTCACTGAAGTAGCTATCCAAAATCGGCAGTGTAAAATCGGAATAAATCGGGCTATAAATTGAACTAAGGAGAAGTCATAAGGCAGACAACTAAAACTGTGGTTGCCACGTGGGACGTGAATGGGACTTGCATTTCAAATAAGAGCAACGGCTAGATGCAAAGTTAAGATGGCTTTACCGGTTTCGGGGCTGGTGAAAAGAGCCGTAACTTTAGCAACATGGGGCGCGCTGTGGCGATCAGGCCCGCTACAGAGCAAAACGTTATCTCCAGGGCAGACTACCATGCCGTCCTTTTGGTGCCGCATTGACGGGTAGCACAGTCGCATTACTGGCGGGGAATCTGGCTGTTGGATAGAAAGAAAGAGCGCCATACAAAAAAACTCAAAGGAGAATAAGATCACATTTCACGTTTATTTTGATGGTAGCGGAAATTAACTGGTGAGAACAATGACGTGTATATAAAAATTCGCATAGCTTTTGCAATCAATTGATGAATCAATAAGTCAAAATAGCCAAATATGAACTTGATGAAGCTAGAATTTACCTTTATAAAAACCAACCTCTGATGAGGTTTGCCCTCCCAGGTCCATAAGCACGGGGCTTGCGTCTTCTCCGCTGAAACACGTTTTATGGGCGTTTTCTTCATTTGTGAAGTGACAACAGGACTCGGAAGATCTTCTGTGATAAGTTCGGGGATTGGTGAAACTGCCCTGTCAACACGTCCTGGTTGATCTCGAGCAAGCGTACATGATGCTTGAGAATCCGTTTGTTCAATCATCAAGGACGGGTGGACTGGCTGTGCTGAAATAACGGCTCGTGGAGTCACACAGCCACCAAAATTACCATGGGAAAAGGTATTAAAAACTGGTGATACGGACATGGGAAGCATGTAATTGGCAGGCATTTGATGAGTCAAGTGATGCACATACGCTGCTCCGAACGGTGGAGCATGTAAAAAGTGGAATGGCGATGCGGTAAGCGGGTGAAAAAGTGTTGGAGACATGAAGAACGCGTGAGGTTGGAGGGTAGGCGGGTGACTAAAGGCATGTAGATAAAGGTGACAGGGCAAGAAGTTATGGAAGTCAGCAGAAAGTATGTTTGTTCGTGGGGGAGAATTTAAACAGGTTTGGGGAAGAACAACAGCTGAGTTGTTTGGGTGCACTAGCCCACTTGAAGTCGATGGACACGGGGAGGCGTGACGAGGAGTTGATGTATACGATGGGGCTAAAATGTGGTGACACATTTGACCTGAGGTTGGAGGAGGATCTATCGAGCTCTGAGTTTGCGGCGGAACATGAAATATTTGCCGAGAAACGTTTTCGACACCAATACACTTTGGCCCATAAGAGATCACCTTTTGTGATTGAAAGCGCTCCACTGTAGGTATGACAGCCTCCGCAGCGGATTCTGATGTAGGAGCTAGAGTTGGTAAAGCTGCGAGAGAGCATGACGTGTCCAACGATGTCGAAGTTACTGATTCCACCACAGTGTCCTTTGGCTGGGTTGGGATTATCAAGTGATCCACTTTTTCCGATACTGTCGCACTGCCTAGGCTAGGTGACGTCGACTTGGCAGTTGGGGTGCGCTTCTGACGGGATTTCACTAGAGATGGTGTTGACTTAGGAGACTTCATAAATGCACTGATTATAGCCATAGCATTAAGCCCTGCAACACGCTTCGTTGGAGGAGAGTTGGTAGGTCCTGGATCCGAAATCCTACCGTGATGAGAGTTTGAAGTTCGCTTTTTTGGTGGCAAAATAACTTGGCTTTCATCAACCGGGGACACTCTTGATTGGACCTCTTCGCCAAATGAAATTGCTGGTAGGGATTTTCTTTTCAGCCTATTGTCTTTCGCAGATTCAAAGAGCATGTTTACTTTTGCAGCAGCATTTAGACTTGCCTCACGGCGAACATTCAAAGTGGTTTGTTCCAGGTGGGGAGCAACGTTATCGGACCGTTTTGAAGGTTTTTTTGTATGTTTCTCAAGGCTTGAAGGTTTTTTTGTATGTTTCTCAAGGCTACCCTTGTTCATGTATGGGCGTCCACTTGGCTCACCATTACAGGCCACTGTCGAGGAGTGAGCAATTTCAGACAGAGGGCCGCTACTGTCAATAGCATCTCGGTGTGACAGGTTTCCTGGACGCAAAAGAGAACTGTCAAGTCCAAATTTTACATATAAGTCGTAGTAAAGGCGTCCACTTTCACAATACGTAGGCACGTTAGTGGATCTTCGCCTACCGATTGCGTGGGACTCCTTGTACGATATTTGAGGACCTTCATTTTTTGTCAGAGATTTTTTGCTAGCCTTAGAATTTGATTTCAGTGCACTTTTTCTCGGCGTAACCGATGTTTTCCTTGAAGATCTACCCTTTTTCATCGCTCTTCAATCATAGATACCATTGTAAACTGCTGGTGAAAAGTTCTTGAGATGGATTGGTGCGTTCCAGTTAGGCGGCTAAGTCAATCAAGTCAATAAACAGGTCATCTCACGAATGCAGATAAAACCTCTGTTAGACATTAACACTGCAAGTCTAAACTGCTTGCTGTATTAATAATAGCACTTTTGTGCTAAGTGCAATGTTTGGAATTGTGGTGGAGGATAAAGTTGTTTCGGTAATGAAATTAAATTCAATTATTAGGGATTGTACACATCATATCAATTAATAGTCACTGAGCTTATGACAAAAAAGTTTACGAAGCATGCATTGCAGAGGTCAAATATAAAACTCAATAACAGCTGCAAAAAATCTTCCAAAGTAATATTTATCATGGTGTTATAAAGTATGTGTTGAAAATTTTACCCCCCTCTCACAACGTCACTACGACTTATCGATTACCACCGCCTCGTTGTGAAACGTATCTCCTCTGTACAGCAACAAAGTAGCCATAATGTGAGAACTTCTCTAACGTCAGATCTTATTTCTTTCTTCACAACCTATTTCGTTTACATCATCCAAATTGATTCAAAATGTTCAAATTTAACATCCATGGGATACGATAATTTTCGTAGCCAAAGATAGATATGGTGAAGATGATTAACTTAATTTTGAGTGATTTTATTATCAGCTGTGCATCTGACCTGAATTTGTCAATTGCAAGATTTCGCTCCGGCCGAAATGATAATTGCATTTTCAGAGCATTTGTCAGTGTTTTTTAATGAAATGGCAGCACATTATATGATGGCTCTTTCAGTTTATCAATTTAAAGCTTTTTTGACCAAAATCGACTTTAAGTGCATGTGAAAATCCTCTTGTTTTCAAATGATTACCGAACACGAAGCAATCCATGCGTATATTCATGTTTCTATTAAATATATTACGACACAAATTCGATAAAAAATTCTTTATAGATTGAGGCTTATGCGTGCTTAGATAAGCAATACGTGCAAACAAAGTTATTTTACTAAACACTGCTTTACAAGCGTGTACTTCATAATGCCTTTAGGTGTCTTAAAAACATTTCGAAAATAAAAATTTGTATTCTCCAATTTCGACTAGACTGATAGCATCGTGACCGAAACGCTTAACCGAACACGAATGTTTATAAGCTGATTATTGTTTGCCGCAAAAATCCTTTTGCAATTTAAATTTTCAAATTATCATTTTCTATGCTTCTCTATATCACGTAGAATCGTTTGACACTTTTTAAACATGAGAATCTAAACATTTTAAATTTAATGTTTAAAAAAGGAGTCTTATGCAAGCAAAAAATTATAACGGCCTAATCAGAAATCAGTAACAAAATTCATTGCCTAATTCTCACTATGAAAGAACAAAGGTAATCTAAGATTCTAGCTTAATCTATTTTATGCATAAGTTGATAGCACAATATATTTGCTAATTACATCACCTCAATCCCCGAAGGACAGGTAATTTTGACAGATACGTTTAGCAAAAACAGTCTAGTAGTGCATTTATACTAGTAATCTTATTTAATTTTTGGTAGTAGCTGCTGATAGTCTCATAAAAATGTCTTTTTGAAGTTGGAATCGGACTAGAACCCAATGAAATCTTGTTTGGTTGAGTTGCAAAAGCCTAATATTGCATATTGGTAATTAGAAGTCTTACTGTCAAAAAACTTACTGGTAAACATAATGGACTAACTTAAAACATATTAAGCAGTAATTCCCTCGAAATTTCGAAGGAGGATGCTTACTAAAATGATCTATTATCTGAAGATTCGAACATCTATTTGGAACAACTGTAAAGGTAGCAGAAGATAATAATATTCTTTATTTGTTTTTTACCATTTATATCTCCTTAAATCTTCTGTGTAATCTTGGACATAATGTACATTTATTTGTTGCTAAATTGACTAAAGCCTAGCATTTAGGGAAAATCAATTAGCGCTTAAAATGTAGCACTCGTTTCACGCATTTTTGGAGATAAATATAACAAGTTATGCATAAAAGGAAAATTTTTAAGTGGTTAAAATTTTCTAATTTATTGGCACTTATTTAAATGTCGTGAAGTTGCAAATCAACTAGGACGGGTCTCTTCCCATCTATTTGGATGTCCAGCTTCTGTGAGAGATTGTCTGCGAACGCCATTTGTGATTACCTAAAACAGCAATATGTTTGGGCTCCAGGTTTGTGGCTTTGTTAAGCTTTTAGTATGTATGTTAGGATCATCTGATGTCGAATGCCATCCTGTAGCTTTCTTCCCAGATGTAGAGGAAGAGGCCTTATCATTCACCATAATGGATTTGCTCCTTGCTTACTATTTTCAGTGGTACAATCTGACTTTAGTACGAGTTGTCTGAATTTCAGCTTAGATAATTTGGATCGGCATGTTATCGTGATAGATCGTCGTAAATGTGGCTGGATTCCTACAAAAAAGCTCTTGGTGCACTTAAATGTATGGTATTAGCTTTTACCTGTTTAGGGGATATAGGTTTACTTTTCTAGTTATATCGAATATGTCGTGATACTCCGACCGCAAGGATTTTTTCAACGAATCGTTTCTGACAAAAATGTAGCTTCGATTCATAACGAAGTCTCTTTCGTCGTTCACATGATTGATCAACCGGAGGAACTTTTTCGATTCATTCGTCAAAATCAAATCCCAATCGAACTCGGAGGAACATTAAATTTTAAGATATCATCTTGGGTGGATTTTCAAATCGTACGTCTTTGATTGTATTGTTTATTGCAATACTTATTCCTGTCTTTTTAATGCATTAGATATTGTTCTTGAATCTAAATTGGTAAATACCCTGCGTAATTCAGTTGACTGCGCAATTGAAATTGCTGTCAAATTTGTCTGCGTTTCACGGTTGTGACAGGTCTCTTTTTTCCTATTGCACTTTTGTCTTCTTTGGTGTTAAGCATCTGCCTGGAGTTGCTTCTGTGTCTACGGCTTAAGTCTTCATGAATTCAGTCTATGCGTGTCCTCTTCTTAATTTCACTCGACAATGCAATGTTTATCCTGTCATATCGTCTTAACAGTTTGCTGTAGACTATTTGGAGCTGTCGACACTCATCTTACAAATGCTCTTTTAAGAAATAGAAGATGTGCGAGGAAGTCGAGGTCTCCTGAGTTCGATTGAATCTCTTAGACGAAGCTTCAATGATCCGAAACCTCTTTATCACTGAAATGCAGTGTTTGCCTAGTAAAATGAAGAGTAAAGCCTGGAACCGAAATGCTGCATCACACCGAATTATTGAATCGACCTCCATTCTGTTAGCTCTGTGTTTTAATTCAATAAGGAAATGATTCGAAAGTCATTTTTTTATAAACGATCGCGTCTTTGCTCCAAAAATGCCTTGCGAACAAGGACTGAGTACCACTGGCTTCTAGTCGCAAATAAAGATAGCGAAACCATCGGCTGCCCTGGTGAACCTGAATAGATTTGGCGTACGTTTTTATTGATGTGGTAGGTGAATAACAAATGAAATAGTAAATAAGGTAATCGGAAATAGCACAACAAGGAATTCTTGTTTCGGAAGGTATTGGTTTAAATATCCACCGGTAATAACTGCCTCTTTTGGTGGGCTTTCATGTTTCAATTCGTCCCGAGTGCGTGTTGGAACCAACACGTGAAAAGGATTTATAGTAACTGAATCTGCAAATTCTCTGCAATACAATCGCATAATCTGCACAAGTGGATTTACAGTGGGATAGATTGCTTCATAATAGGTAGTGCCTTCCATTTTGACAGAGACAGGATTCTACTCTGGTCATTGCCACCAGTGGTGGATCGATGTGGGGTTCCAACATAATAGGTAGCAGGAGGATAATTACAACGTGTCCTTTTATTGGCATTTGATTGGGTTATTGTCCGCACGTCAAAGTCGAAGGCGACCCGACAATAACCTATGAGTTGATTTAATCACTTCCCGAATACAATAAGCTACATTACCAGATTATTTGAGTGGTAAGGAGACGACCTTTCCTATTTTAATTCACTGAGTGCTATTCGCTAGACGTTTCATAAATACTCCTTTCAAGAATATACGCTGTAAAATCCCACTAACCAGTACGTCTTTTGTAAACTGTAATTTCCTTTTACGTTTTCCAAATTAGCTGTCAGCTGGAGCCAACTAGTGTGCTTTCTTAGATTATCGTGTTGTCTTTGTGCTGAGCAACGCACCCACACAAATTGCTGCTAAGGCCCCTAGTCGGGGCTTGAACATCAAAAATACGCATTGTGTGGTGACTGGTGTGATCAACCTGTTGAAATTGCTTTTCTGAAATCGAAAATCATCATTTGGCTGAAACAGGAGGTTTACTTCGCCTGGACTGTCGACCTTTTAAAAGCATAACTTTCACGAACACCAATGGAGAGACCACTGCTTTACTGGAACACGAAATCCGGAAGGTAATTTGTAGGATGAGGTTTTAAGTAAGACTCGTCCTTTTATTGGCATTTGACGGAGTTATTATCTACACGTCAATAGCCAATGCCCACCAGTCACGAGGTACAATTGTACAGATTTATAAACAGTCAGTATGTGATTTTTTTCGTAGAGTAAACCATGTGTGTCACTGTTCGTTAATATAGTGTTTTTAGAGGTAAGGACAGAGAGTCATCGGTACAACTGTCTTTTCATTGAGAAGACCAGCCCCAAGTATCTCGTTCTCATTACTTCAATTACTCCTACATGTCCTTATACCAAAGAGGTAAGTGTTCACAATCCCTCCTTCGGAGCGGAAATGGGTTGTCTGTAATGTTTCATTAACAGTGAGGTTGATGTTTTGAGTGTCACGTAAAGATTTTCGGCTGAGAGACCACAGGTAATCACTACCAATCCAATCGCAATTTTTGAAGAAAGGACTTTGAATATCTGTCTGTTTATTGTCTCAGATTTCGACTCAGTATAATAATAGTAAGGTGCAAGGATGATGCGCCTAGTTATGATGCAAGTTGGTTCCCCAA